ATATATATATATATATATATATACTTACATATATACATGTATGTATACTTACATATACAAGAAAGAGAGAGAGAGAGAGAGAGAGAGAGAGAGAGATAGAGAGAGAGAGAGAGAGAAAGAGATAGCGAGAAAGAGATAGCGAGAGAGAGGCCCCTTTGGGGTATACTTGACACCAAAACATAAACTATGAGAACAGATACGGCGATACTGCTTGCGATTGACGGTTTCAAGAGAATGAACACCTAAAGAGACGAGGGGGACACTGCCTACGATTGAGGGTTGGGAGAGGGTCATCACTAGAAGCTCCAATATTCAATTCGTCTCGTCTCACTGTTATCGTCAACATCTTCATTGTTTCCATCATATGACTCTGTGACTGGTGTTGTTATTGTTGTGTTTGTTGTTGTTGTTGATGTTGGCGTTGATGTTGTTGCTCTTGTTGTTGATGTTGTTATTGTTATTGTTCTTGTTGTTCTTGTGAGTGTTCTTGTTGTTTTTGTTATTGTTGGTGTTGTTGTTTGTGGTGGTGGTGGTGTTGGTGTAGGGGTTGTAGACCCCCGGTCTTACAAAGAGGCCTGGGGTTTAGAGTAACTGTTAGGTTTTGAAAAGGCTGGAAACGTACACGCGCCGAGGAAAACAGCTGCACCTGCTACTGACTAGTAATACATTATGATCAGCATCCATGCCAATGTACTGTTTGTTGTGAGACCGACGGTCACAGCTTGTTTATGTCTACGGTTGTTCATATTGCTCACTAATGTTTTCTTGTATGTAGGATTATTACTCGTATGAGTTTATCCAGTATTATCAGCACCATTGTGAGGATGACTACTGCTGGTTGTACTAATTGCGGGTTTTGTTGATACTCCTGATATTGTTGATGTTGCTGCGCTTGTGGTCGTGCTTGTGATTGTTGATGTTGTTGCTACTGTTGAAGTTTGCTGTTGTTGGTCACGGTGCTTGTAAACAGGATGGGGGTTTGGAGCTTCTGTTAAACTGTTAGAGTTCGAAGATTGGAACTGTATTCACGCCAAAAGAACGACAAAGACTAGTTCAAAGGAATGACAAAGACCAGCTGGCACAAAACAGAGGATATATATAGAGAGAGAGAGAGAGTGAGAGAGAGAGAAAGAGAGGACCTGCCCCCACGGAGGCCTACAGACAAAACGAGGCACACGACCCTCCAAACAACAGTACAGCCAAGCCCCTCCGTCAAAATGATGGACGGGGATGCGCCTAGGCGCGGGTCGAGGGGTAGCTCCCCTAGGCTCTGAACCCTAGCAAAGCAAAGCAAAGCAAAGAGAAAGAGAGATAGTTTCAAATACGAGTATTGCAAACAACAGATACAACGAATATCGCTAGGCTTGACAACACTCAATAAACACTTCAGAAAAGTAATATTTCACATACGGTCACAACAGCAACAGCAGAATCCAAGACTAGTAGGTATGACCACAATGACCGCTATCAATCTGTTAGATTGCAAATTGTACCCGCGCACGTGTTTGTGTTCGATCGATGTTTGTTGTTGCTAACAATCCATGTCCGGTTACATGAAGACAACGAACGAGACATCATAGAAGATAACCGACACCTCAAGTATGGATGCCGTTCACCAGGCCAAGCTTCTGAAAAACATGTAAATTCGATATTAACAATATATCAATGTTTTGGATTTCGGTTTGTGCCATGTACAACTTAGCCACTTATTGTTTAGCTTGGCATTTGATATTGTGCATACCGAAAGCTGCTTAAATCGACCCTAAAAGTATCGGGCTCATGCACATCATATAATGAAATATGCATATATATATATATATAGTCTATATAGTTATTTATTTATTTGTTTATATGCTCGCACGCGCGCACACACACACACACACATGCACCCACGTATACTTACGTTTGAGCAAGGTGTCCTGCAGTAGTAGCGTTTTACGCTGGCGGCATTCCTAGATTTCATGCACAGAACACGACGGCTTGAAAGAATGAGGCTCGTTCGGCGAAAGGCAATAAGCTTTCAGCTGGCGAATGTTAAGAATATGTATCCAGCCCACAAGTGAGTATGTAGGGAAGCGGGCATGGATGGCCGGGCAAAGGCGGACCCCTCGACTTAGAAGTTTTTGAAAATGAAGAAGCGAGGGTAGTGGTGCTCTAGTCCAAAGCAATACAGCAACATGCCAATACCTGTACCCAGAGGAACACCAACCTCAATGCTAATGCTGATGCGAGCACCAACACTGAATACTGGTACTGACAAAGAAGGAATTCTACTCGGTGTCAGGAAACCAATAATGTAAATATTGACAACACTATTGAAACTTACTGTCACCACACCTACGCTATTCTTCGGGCAGTATGGGCGACAGCAATGCACTGCACGAAAAGTCGGACTCCGAGGCAGAGGCACCTTCAGCCCGATGCTGTGACCTTCGGTTTGCTTGTCCGCTTGGAGCAGGTCCGTCTCTTTGTTGGCTCACAAGCAACGGTTTTGTTTCCACTTCTCAGCGTGTAGAAGCCTACGTGCTGCCATGAATTGCAGGGCTTTGACACGGGTTGAAAGACACTCTGCGAGTTGTTGGGGAACCAGTGTCCTTTTGAGTTGGTTCCAGGTTCTTGTTTCTGCCTTCCATGGGGCCCAAATATCCCTTGACAAACCTCAATGGCTATCCTAGATCCTCGAACCATGCACACTAGCGACCTCTGACTCGCAGGTGGCCGGGGGCTGGCTCGCCGCGCTCGGAGCTCTCTCGAACATGCGCGCCGTGCTTCAGCCGGTCATGCGAGGGGCTCTCTCGATTTTGTAGGGTTCAGTGCTTGAGGGTGCTGTCGGTGCTGGCGGGATTCCAGAACGCTTGTGGTTGAAACGGCGGCCTTTGGGGCTTTGGTGGAAGTGGGAAGCTATGTGTTCGCCCGGCGTGCGCTTACTACCTCGTTCTTGGATAAAAGCAACCGCACAGCAACGACGACTGCAACAGTAGGCCGGAAAACATGACCGTCAGCTGCAATCAGCCCGAGATGCTGTAGTAACTGTAGTAAACAGAACTTACGCTAAGACTTACGCAAGGCTGGCAGTGAGAACCCCTGTCTTCCCTCCCAGAAGCATTCAGGCATGAAGATTCGGGGTCTCCGAAGCTCCCTAGTCCAGACTTTTGGTTTCCCCGTCGCCCGAACAAAACAGCAGACGCCCAGGCTGGCTTCTGCCCAAATGTGATGAACTACGCCGTGGTCTTGCGGGCGTGCAAGGCAAGCTGCCTCTTGGGGTTGAGAGTCATGGGCTTTACTGGGAAATTCATCCAGTGGCTCAAAACCATTCACAGCACCACATCGAGCAAGTGACCCGGAGAGCCCAGCGGCTAGGCTTTGCAATGCACTGCCAAAAGAAGCCACAAGAACAAGCAGGCTCGAACACGTACAGCGAGAAACCAATCACTGAAAATGAGTCTTTTAAGTCCTATAGAACTTATGTCCTGTTCCAGTCATTTCTGCCAGGATGCTGGCTCGTGGCAGGTTGCCCTGGCCCTCGTCTCCACCATGCTCCAAGAAGGCAAAGGGGTCCCGGAACACTGTTGCGATATGCCGCAGATGATCGTGATGTCGAGTGGGGTAGCGGAAGGACGAGTAGGAGTTGGTACACTCTGGCCCCTGAAACATCCACATCCAATGTTAAGTTTTACCACCACACATGCATTGCTTAAGCTGGATTCAGAGTAGCGGAGTGAGCAAAGCATTCCGATCACTGCCGTGTGAAAACCTTGGCCCGCGTCGGGATCCTTTGACAAAGGCTCCGGCACAGGATTCTAGGACTACCTTCGGGTTCCCTTGCTAGGTGTCCGCCCGGATGTCCTGGCCGTGAATGCGGCCATCGGGGCTTGTACAGAGACGGGAAGCTGGGAAGTGGCACCTCGCTGGACAGGGCTCTCAGCTTCAGGGTGCGCGCATTCAGTGCATAGGGCTCGGAATGCTCGGATGGGATTTAGCGTTTAGAGACTCTTTGTTGGGTTTTGCTGTTGAAGGTTTGGGTCGTTGAACCTGTGCGTCCGACTTCTACGTTTCATGCGTCGGGCCGTTAAAGACATGAAGAAGCTCAGGGCTACGGCTTTGAAAAGCCCCGGTCCACATCGTCGGCGTAAAATGCTCCAAGCACACCTTGACCTTTATTGTCACCCCGTAAAGCCCCAAAACAATGCCGGGAATGAGGCGGTTGGACTCTTCGAGTTGATGCACAAGGAAGCCTTGGCACCGCGGGGAGCCCAAGGTGAGCCACGGAAGCCTCCGTCTCTCCCAAGGCGTATATGAGGTTTCTTTGCAGGCCTTTCGGTGGGAGTTCCGGGTGTTGCGTGCTGTTTGGTCGATGTGCTTTTTATTCAGAGTTCGCGGTGTTGGGCGTAGGGCCTCGAAACTATCCCCAGGCTTCTTCTCGACTCTTCATCCTCCAGGGGTCGGCGCGGGGGCAGGTTCAATTCGGGCTGCGTTTCATCCGGAGCTCTTTTTCATGCTGCAGTGTTTCGGCTGACTTCGCAAGTGTGACTTGGCACTTGTAGTTGACCGGCGTCCCACGTCATTTGCTGACCCCGCCAAAAAGAATCAGAATGAGGTCGACTGCATCAGCCAATGTCGTGATGAAGATTTGCGGCCCGTGCCTCAGCGAAACTTCTCGTCTGGAAGCCAAAGGGGGGTCGGACAAGAGCTTGGTCCTACATTGAGCGTGACGACGTTTGGCCAAGGGGTGCAGTACGATGTAAGTTTAAGAGGACAGACTCGCAAAAAGAAAAAAAAGAGCGATAGCAGCAGCCCTTCCAATCATTCAGGCTCTTACACTCGGACTATGCGTGCGTGTTCGCGTGTGTGCGTGGGTGACTTGCGTGGGTGCAGGGGTGCGTGGGTGGGGGTGGGGGTGGGTGCGGGTGTGAGTGTGGGTGTGGGTGTGGTTGTGTGTGGGTGTGGTTGCGGGTGTGGCTGTGGGTGCGGGTGTGGGTGTGGGTTTGAGTGTAGCTGGGTGTAGGTGGGTGTGTGTGTGTGGGTGTGTGGGTGTGTGGGTGTGCCTGTGTCTCTGTGTTTGTGTCTGTGTCTCTGTCTCTGTGTTTGTGTCTTTGCCTCGGTGTCTGTGTCTCTGTGTCTCTGTGTCTGTGTCTGTG